TTCTTGAATATCAAGAAGTGTTTTTTCAAATATTTTAAGCATTTCATGCATATTTTGAATTTCATTCTCCATATCTTTAACAACTTCAGTGTGCATATCATTTGTTCTTAGAACAGGAAAATCTTGAAGTTGTAATTGCTGTATTTCTGTCATAAGGCTCTGTAATATCCTTAATCTCTTTTTTTGTAAATCTTCGTTCGAGATGGACGCTTGTAAAGCTTGAACTTCATTGTTTGACATTATATTTGTCAATTCTTCTATATTTTTCTCTTGTTCATCTTTTTTGTCCTTTAATGTTCCAAGCGCATCTTGTAGTGTATATTCCATGTTTTTATTTAAGATATTCTAAAAAAAACATTTGTAAGAGTTACTATGCTAAATCGATATTAGGGACAAGAGTTAAAGCATTGTTAGTGGAAAGGTTCTGAGATCTAATTCAATTTTTAATTATAATAGTAATAGGATATTTGTAAATATATATATATATATATATATCGACAGAAATTATATTCGTTGTTCTTTTTTGAAGTGCGAATTCAGTGCTCTTTGCACTGATTTCGAGCTAATACAGCAATATGCTTCGAGTAGCTATATATACAGTAGCTATATATACAAACAAATACGTAACCTAAAGCAATGACGTTACTGTAACAGAAGTATAGAAATATTATAAAATATTTCATTACTTAAAAATAATTTATCACATAAGTATTTCATAATATTTCTGAAGTAATATAGCCAATTCAGCGAAAAAGGACAAACCTAATATATCCAAGAATTATGTAAATATGCTGGTTTTTTCAAAAGGTTAGTGTCACGTTACTTTCGTCATTTCACGTTTTTTTTTTATAAAAGGGTAAATTATGGCACAACGTAAAAGTATTAAATGGCACACCTTGTCACACTATGTGTTGAACAAAACAGTATATATAAATGAACAAATTGTCTTATGAATTTTTAGTTTAAATGATGATAGAAAACGAATAATACCACACGCAACGTTAAATCCCGCCAATTGTCATCTAATGCTCATGCTCATTTAGGATTAAAGGTGCTTTCATATGTTGCGTAACTTGCATCAATCCGTCAAATCCGCCGTGGTAATTGGGTAATTTAGATGATTTGATTGGTTGATGCAAGTTACGCTTACGCAAGATACGCACGCATGTGAACAGCGCGTAGACGCTCAAAAAGAACGCAGCCTAGAAAGTCTGGAATAACAGGTGCCAACCTGTCCATGTAACCAGCTACTTTGTGATTGGTTAGTATTACATTGGACTAGAATCGGATTTTGATGAAAGTCACTATAAATTAGATGAGGTTAAAGTTTACATAAGGTTAGGTTAGATTCACGTAGTTTCCCATCATCTACGATTTATATCGAATCTTCCGCTATGCTCTCACGTAATGCGAATAAACTTTTGCGGCATTTTCGTATGATCTCAAATTGTCGCAATTTCGCTTCAGCAAATATTGAGACAGGTATTTTTATCATTTTATAATCGTAAAAACAATGTATACATTTGGGTGAAATATGTAGGTTAGTTTTAGGTGATATGACAGAGAGGTAAAAACTAATACAAAACAATAGAAATTATTATATTGTTTTATCATGTGTTATATTACAATTTTTTTCATTTTATTGTTATTTTCCGTGTGCATGTTAAAATAAGTTATTACTAAAAATGTCCAGAATAAATACTTGTAAATAAGTAACGATAAATTGTATCATATTTATATTAATATACATTTATATGAATATACAATCTATTATTTATTTTGCATTGGTATTGGCATTGCATTATTATAATGAAATAACATGTATATACAAAATATTTTACTTATAGAAACAACATAGGACTATCATAATTATTCATGCACAATTATCATATAATTTTAGAAGATCTAACTGAGAAAGATCCTGCACCGGTTTTCTTCGACCAAGAAGTCCAGACATATTTGAAAAAACTGACAACATTGGATTATAAAAAAGTTTTCCGGATACGTAAAGATGGACATGAGCTTGAACCACCACAATATCGATTCTTGACGGATGAGGAACTCGAGAAAGCTAAGAAAGTAGCAGAAAAGAGAGCAGAGATTTACTTACAAATGCCACCAGTAGTAAAACAAAGATCAGACTCATCTTTATTGTTATGTGAGGATCCCGGGCTACAAAATTATAATGCTGCCAAAATTGTATTCACTGATATTACATACGGTATCAACAATAGAAAGAGATTTGTAGTTATCAGAGAACCAAATGGCAAGCTGAGACATGCCACTTGGCAAGAACGGAATAGAATTATACCGATCTATTTTCCAAATCCAGGAAGGGAGTTACAAATGCCAAAGATGTTTGAGAGCGAAAATTTACAAGTAAATATTCTACTAATACTTTAAAAATTTCACTCATTAGTATTGTGTTCATTGATATTTGCACATTTAGACGAAGGTATAGCTTAGATGAAGAAAGAAGGAACGGTGGGAATCCGAAGTAAATATCAACATAGCTGTTTGCTGATTGATTCCCTTTTTTCAGAGCATATTAGACCGCAAGGAATACGAGTTCATACTTGATCGTGCGTGTGTGCAATTCGAGCCGGATGACCCGAAATATCAAGAGATAACGCGGGAAGTCTACGAACGTGTAAACCTAGAGAGACATTTCGATGTCCTGAGATCTACGCGTCACTTCGGCCCGATGGTGTTTCACCTGGTGTGGACGAGTAACATCGACAATTTATTACACGAGATGATCGAGAGTAGTCGAATTAAAGACGCCGTGTTATTGATACGTCTGTATCACAAGATCCATCCTACGAGCAGTTCGGCGATCGAACAGTGCAGTAACTCGGATGACGTAGAATTCATACTGCATTATGTCCGTCTGGATTCACCTAAGACAGGCACGCTGGAGAAGCTCCTGCATTCGTACAAAGAATTACAACAGGAGCTGAAAATCCTGGAGGAGGGCATTAAGAGGGCGCATGGTGTTCCTCCGGAAACCATCGAAGTGTAAATTAATAAACTTAGCCTCCTCTCCGTTGCATAATTGGCGATTGTACGTGTAATTGGCCCAATTATCCCTCTTTATTAACCCATTCATACATATTCCGAACACCATTGCGACAAAAACTAATAATAACTGAATTGTTCGAAGTATCGCAATAGTATAATTTTGTTGCAAAGAGGTACCATTTGGCGAAGATTGAGATTATACGCGATTAATATCGACACGTGTGGAAACTCCCGGAGGGCACGTGTTTAATGATCAGATAAGAGACTGGTAATACGACGTAGGATGTTAAATGCATTTTGTGTAGCTGCTTGTAATATATAATTTTTAGTTTGCGTTTTATTTGTATCCTGTTTCGTATATAATCCAATTTGAAGAAGGAATGCATGAAAATCAGCCTTTTAATTGTTGCGTCGTTTTCGCCCTCATTTCAAGGACATCCGATTGTCACTGTACAATTTGCGTCTAAAAAATTATTATTATTATTATATATGTTCGAATGACGAGACGCGTTAGTTTCAATCTTCGCTAAAGCTTACGGTCGATTCCTCTGAGGACACAATTCTATCTCAGGTAGGACAAGAAATGAAGATGTGAAAGCGACGGTGAAATGATGAAAAATGACCGAAAAATGCGATTTATAGTCATTTTCTCGTCATCTTGACGTCATTTTGACATCATTCTGACGTCATTGTTGTTTTCTATTCTACCTGGTATTATGCTCCCTTCCAGGACATCCCTATAGAATAAGAGTGAGACTGTACTGCGTGGTATGTCATGATTTGCTTTATTCGTTGTTCGTAAGGTTCGAATTTATATCGATGGATAACAGACACACACGGTCGTCAGGGTAATTCGATGATTATTACTCGATTATTTTATTACGTGGTAGTACTTACAAACATTTACAAATGTAACAAGTCAATTCGATTTGGCGTACAGGATCGTCAGAAAACATTACACTAATATGACTCGCTAAATCGCGTAAATATGGAGAACGGAGAAGAACGCAAATCCGTTCGAACAGCCCGCGCCGATTTCGCGCGGATCGGCAGTCCGAGACGCTTCGTGACGTTTACGATTAAGAGGGCTTGAGGGAGCGGGGTTGAGAAAGGTGGGGTGAGATTATACTTAGCGATTATGCGAACGTATTCGGGTATAATAAATAATCAGCTCTACCGATGCTCGAGTATCGTCGGGCGAACGAAGATGCACCGTTCAGAAAAAAAAAGAAAAAAAGAGTAGCTTTATACAAATGCAATGTATGGTTGGCGACAGCGTAAGTACCTCTACGATCGATAGAACAATATACAAATCCGACGTGTGAGAGAAACGAAAAAAATACGGGAGAAGTGTTTCTTTCCTTTTTTTTCTTCTTTCCTTCTTTCTTACTCTTGCCGCTGGGATCTCGCTCGTCGTTATCGTTAATATTTGATAAGCACTCGCAATCATAATTGTTATCATTGTAATTCGCAACATAATTCGTTATCATTATCATCATCGTCATTATCATCGTTACCACTCGCCTTATAATCCTTAGTACTCTTACTGTAGTAATTATTATTCCCTTATAGACGTGCTCCGGATTGAGAGACGGTGGAAAATAAATAAGATATAATGCGTTCTCGCTGCTCGTGTTTAACCCCCGGATGCCACCGGCCGCATTGTTTCGCGCGTTTATCATGTAAGTGAAGTAAATCACTCGTAAGCAATCTCTCTTCTCCCCTTCTCCCCGCAACCTTCGTGAAACGAACGTCACAATCCGGTTGTGGTTGCAAATATTTTCCCCCTACCGCCGCTCATCGTTTATTATTATTACCGACAAGTCGGAAAACATAGCGTAGATTAGAGTTTGATCGCAAAACGCGCCAATGTTTGAATTTCGACCTACGAATTTACTAGCGTTATTACATCACACCGATCAGAACTCATCTTCGCATTCTCGATCGCCGTCGAACAGTGCGAGATCACGTGCGTGCATCACATCCGATGTGATCGCGTCAGTGCGCGAGATTTTGTACAGAAATTCGCCTAATAATCAACAACGATGCTAACGTATGCGCAATTGATCTTGTTCTCAATCGATTTATCAATAATCCTCGATAATCTAATTACTGGCGTAACAGAAGGAACTTTTATATGTAATCTACCGCGAATTAGACGCACGAATACACGGAAGATCGAATCCCCTCGTTTCGTCGTTTCTCCTTTTCCTCGCGCGCACGTTGGCCCGTTCATTATCAATTAAAACTAACGAGTTTCACCCCCTCCCTCCCGTCTTCGTTCAACAATATTGGCAGTGCGCCGGTTTTCATTCGGGAAAACACATCCGACACGTCTCTCATCCGATTCCTCTCGCGGCACCTTCGACCTTCGGAAGATCCATTCGCCAAGTCGGAATGGCATCTGCGAACGCATCCGAGGGTTAATACGGAAATCTCGTCGAACCGGTCCGGCTCGAACGAAAGGGTGAAGTGTAGAAAATAAATACGCGCATACGTGAGTGAGTGAGTGAGTATGTGTGTGTGTGTGTGTGTGTATGTGTGAGTGTGTGTGTGTATGTCAGCTGTTAGGCCCTTCAAAGCAGCAAGGTTCGCGTTTAGCGCTGGTTTACCCCAAACAACGCAAGAAGCCCGAAGGGCTGTCTAAAATAAGTCCGCGAGATGCCACTTTGCAGACGATCCGGGCATCTCAGAGAATTGAGACTTCTCAGAAATCCGCGTGACCGGGGAAGCGCGACGAGAACTCGCCCCTTTTATTGCACGCTTAAGCTGCGGTGAAATTGTGCGAATCGGTGATCCTGCATGATCCAGGTGGCGGATGTGCGGAGTCCCTTCGCAATCCGCGCGCGAGCTCGCGTCGATGCTCGGACGAAAGGCGAATAACGAACGTATCGTTGAAACGGTACAAGCGGCATCGCGTTGTGCGCACGTGTGTGTGTGTGTTGGTGTATGCGTATGTGTACGCACGGAAAAATACATACTGTATTCAAGTTACTCTTAATTGTCCCAAATATTTCCAGCTCTGCTATTCAATTACTCACTTTTGTCACTTTTTGTTTCGCTTTTTCTTAATGAGTCACCAAAAAACTCACTATTGCACCAAAAATGGGCCACTATAGTAATTTTTTTCTCTCTCTCTCTCTATTATAGATATTAAATTAAAATGAAAACCTCGGCTCATTTATTCCGATTAACCAAATTTCACCTTTCTTCTGTAAAGTTTGCAGTATTCTTGAAAAGAGAACAAGCTCTTCCTTTGAGTAAGCGCTAATGATCTCCTCTAATACTCGTGATGAGTGTGTGTTTTAATAATATTGTCAAGAAAATTGAATAATTGCTTTTCTTCCCAGTACGATATTTTTCTCTGCGCATCCGCCCGCTTTTCGCCGCCTCCCCTGCCGTTTCTCGTCGAATTAAGTGCGAAAGTCCGCGGAGTTTCATGATGAGAGAGCCCCCCCTCCCGCGCGGGTGGTCTAAGGCGCGTCAAGGCGAGCCGATTGTCCCGATAATGCGAACGGAGTGCAGAGAGTACGGAGGCCGCCATCCGCCACCTCGATCGAGAGCCCTCGATTTCTCGCCTGCGACAATGAAGAAACGATGAGGCGCGACGATTCGGCCGAGTAGCGGCGCTGCTCCGATTGACCGGACGATAATCACGCCCGGCCGAACAATCCGACACGGAATGCGCGGCATTTATTGCGAAATGTAGCGGAGCTGCTGCGATTTGGGTTGGGTGAATATTGAGCAATATTCCTTCTAACGCACACCTTTGGCCGCCGGAAAAGAAATCGGCCGGCAGAATCGCTTGTCGCGCGCGCGCGCGCCTTGCCGTGTCTCTCGACTCTCGAATTGGTCACGTTTTACTCCGAGAGAACGGCGAGTCCAGTTGCACCGACTTGAAATCCACTCTGAAGTCCCAACCGATTCCTCCTCTCTATCTATGGACCCGTTTCTACCAACGTTAGAGAAGACCTCAGAGAACCGAGCGAATCGACAACCCGTGATGTCCGCTTGAATTGTGAGATCCTCCGCCGCAAGTCGCAAACCCCCTCCGCTCTCAGCTCTCGGGGTGGCTTTCGCGGAAGTTCACTGAGATTTCGCCGATTGTTCCTCTCCTCTCAAATAGTTTCTAGATAAAGGGACATCGGTCAACAAAGCCCCGATCAACTAAATTTCCACGCGACAAAATGGCCCGTTGAATCTTTATTTATGATACTGAAACACTTCGTCTTAATCTAGAGACAAAGAGAGAGAGAGAGAGAGAGAGAGAGAGACCGTTTCACACGGCGATTTAATTAACTCGAACGTCGTCGGTGCAACTCGACCGTACAATTGTGCGAACGTAGTCCCGGCGGAAGTATTCGACAGAAATACTCGACTCTGTCGCTTTACGACTCCGACCGATTCGCGCCATTGTTGCGATCTCGCCTTATCAATTAATACAGCGAATCGTGTTATATGGGTTAAAAATGGTAACCGGGTGTCTCTAAACGTGTCTCGTGTGTGTTTGCATTTCCTGGTGTGCCGTTTCCTGGGTATCCCGAGTCTTCCTCCGTCGACGGATCGACCACCTCGTATCGCCAGCTTCTCCCGCCTGCGCTCTGTGTCGCTCCTCCTCTCTTCGGACACCTTATGCGTGAATCGCGTTTGTCGACGAGTACCACCCGGTCTCTTACTGGTAACGTGGATAACCCACGTCGATCACCTATCGCTCTGCGTATCCTGTGTGTGTGTATGCGGCTGGTCTCGTTTATGTGTTTGCGTCTGTACACGTACGGTGATTAATTCTAAACGCGATGAAAGAGAGTCACACACGTCTGTGCACCGTTAGGACCGTCGTCGTCGTCGTCGTCGTGTACGAAACGCGTGTTGAATGTACGTGTGATTTCGCCGACATCGTCGTGCGACGAGGAGCCGTCGCCTCGAGTATCGCCTCTTCGTTGCGCGACATTAACGTTACGTACGTGTGTATATGAGTGCGCGCGCGCGTGTATGTAATATATCTCGTATATTTCGCGTGTGTGTATGTGTGTGTATATATATAATATATACCTAGCTACCTAGCTATATATCCACTTACATGTATATATTTATATAAATCCTCCTTGCAGCTGTCCTTTTTCGCGCGTACATATAGTATGTATATATTTATATATATAATACGTATGCATCTGTATAGTATTTATACGATGATCACCTATGTAGAACCTTGACGACGTTGCGGCTCGCCTTACTACGACGAAGAAAAAAACGAGTAGCCGGGTGTGGTTGCGGTGTGTGTATAATCTTAAAAAAGTACGCAATTATCGTGTTCCTCTCGTTTGGCACAGACGTTGCGAAGGTTTTAGGTATATCGGATGTGTGTGTGTGTGTATGTGTGTGTGTGTGTGTGTAGACGAGGGTATACAAGGATCGGAGTGCGCGAGGCTCCGAGCTTTTCCCGGCGGAAATTGCGGAACGGAGACCCCCGGTGGCTCGTTTACCGTCGGATCTGTCGACCTGGACAGGATGCGATCGCAACAACCGTAACTTCGACGACGTCCTCAACCTCAGGGTGTCGAAGGATGAGGATCGAGAGAAGGCGAAAACGCGTCCTAGTGCTCGCTGTGGCCGTCGGATGTGCGGACGATGCGAGCAGCCGAACACGACGCCGAGAGATTCGCGTTGTCTGGTTCGTCTCTCTCCCTCTCTCTCTCTCTTTCTCTCTCTCTCTTTTCCTTATTCTTTTCTGCTCTTCCGCTTCTCCCTCTCTCGTCAGACCGTTGACGCTTCGCTATGCGACGTCCGCGTGGTGTATCGAAATATCGCTTCCTCACGCCGTTTGCGATTATTAATGCTATCGTTTAACTATAAGTGATTAGTGTGGTAATTAGTTTACGAGTGACGCGCGCTAATTCCTACGCTGCATTCTACTTTCCAAGAGACGCGCTATGCGCCCGCGTACGACGGAGCGCCTCCGTCGTCGTCGTGAGGTCGAACGGGACGACCGTAGCACGGGAGTAGTTGTCTCCTTCTTCTTCCCATCCTCCTTTTCTCTCTCCTGCTCCTGCTTCTATTCCCCCACCCTCCCCTCCTCGATTACGATCGTTGGTCGCTCGGCGTTGCACCCTCGGCGCCATCCCTGCGTTCACGGCCGCGTCTCTCAGCTCAGTCCGATCCTCTTAATCCTAGCAATTCCTTGTGGTCGATCCTCCTCCTTTCACCTTCCGTCCCGTTCAGGCGCCTCGTATCCACCTTATCTCACCGCAACCTCCCGGAGCGTCCTCTGATACTCTCGCGATCTCGCCGGTCGACGATCGTGTTAACTCGCCAGCGCGATTTCAGCGGCGACCTTGACGGTCGATCCGATCAGCGAACGGCTTCTCGGTCACAGAATGTCCGTCTCGTAGACCTTGCTGGTGGTCGTGGTGGACGTGGTGGTCACGGTCGTGCCCGAGCCGGTCGTCGAGCTCGACACGACCGTCGTGGACGTGGTGACGCCCCCGGGGACGTTCGTCCCCGCGGAGGACACCGGCTGTCCGTTAACGACCTCGGCGGCGACCTCCTGCAAGATCTGCGGCTTGAGGTTGAGGCTGGTGAGGGAGCCGGAACTGGCGGCACTCAGGCCGAGGCCCATCTTCGCCAAGAGGTTGCTCTCGGAGCCGGTCTTCTTCAGCAGGTCGGGCGGCGCCGGCGGTACGGTGGTGAGACCCGCCGCGTTCCTCTGCAACTGCTGCAGCCGAGCGTACTGCTCCTGCAGGGCCTTCTGCTTCCTCAGCAGCTCCTGGTGCCGCTGCTCCAGCTGCTCCTGCCTGCCCCGCTTGCTCTGCAGGCCCTCCTGCGAGTTCACGCTCTCGCAGGAGCTGGAGTTGCTGGTGGAGAGCACCGCGGACGACTGCGAGGACGAGGAGTTGTGCATCGGCGGCCCGGACGCCGGTCTGCTGTCATCGACGGTGGTCAGAATCGCGTCCGGCGGCAGAGCCATCGGCGGCTTACCACCCTCCTTGCCCGCGACAACGGCGTTGGCACGCGTCGCCGGTCGGCGCAGGGTCGCGTTGCCGCTCTGCAGACTGCACGGGTGGTTCCTCGGCGGCAGCTGCGGACTGGTCGGGCTCGCCAAGGGCGACCTGGAGCTGGTGCGTGGCGGCGGTGGCGGCGGTACTCTCCTGGCGCTGGCCAACTGCAGCAGCTCGGCGTTCCGCTCCGGCACCGGCGGCTTCTGCCCGGGCAGGAAGCCCTGCGGCAACACCGGCAAGCCCGGTTGCTGCTCCTGCAGCGACACTTGCAGCCTGGCGATGGGCGGCGAGGTGTCCGTGTCCGAGCTCGACGGGTACGAGTGCAGGCGGCGCAGCGTGCCGCTGGCGCCCGGCGACATCCCGGGTAGGGCCACTACGCCGCCGGCGACGGTCAGGGTGCCGCTGGACGAGTCCACGCTGCCCTTCCGACCGATGTCGCTGATACTGGGTGCTCGACCGCCGCCGCCGCCGGGAGCCGCAACGCTCGTTGTCGAGTCCCGGAGGCTGGAGGCGCGACCGACGTCGGCCAGGAGCGTGGTGGAGCCGGGGTGCACCGACAAGCCGGCGGATACCTGGCCCATCTGCGAGCTGGGCCGCGAGAAGGTCTGCAGCTCGTCTAGCAGAGCGTCGAGTGCGTTCTCCGGACGCTGCTGATGGGCGGCGGGTGGCTCGAGAGAGTGGCCCCCTCCCCCGAGGACGCTCGCTGACCCCACGACAGTGCGTTCCGCTGGCACAGGGGCAGCTGCCTGTTCGTTCAGACACGTGGAATCAAGACTCGTGCTCGTCGCGACCGGCCGGCTTCGCCGTCGGAGTTCGTGCGCGCGCGCTCTCGTCGGACTGTCGGAAGAAGCATCCCCGGCGCGACCGATCGCGGCTGAGTGCGCGCGCGTCACACACAGAGATACTTACGCGTGTAGAAAGGCACACAGACATATATATATATATACATGTACAAGTGAGTGGAGAATGAAGAGTTTCCCAAAACCACGCACGTTGACTATGTACACTCTTCTTTTTATTCGTGTATGTACATACACAAAGACATTCATCTGGTTGCGGTCGCAGCTGTACATATTTATGATACATTTTTCGTACGGTCAGACTCGTTTGTCGTACATTCGTTTGCGCCCGATAGCGGAGAATGCTTCTTCCGACAACGAGAACGATGATCGTAGAAAGTGGCGTCTCGATGCGAAGTTTCGAGTGATGAGATTAGAGGGAGGATGAAGTCGCGAAAGATGATGACCGACGCAGATTAGGCGAGGCCCGTCATTCACGACGTCGCTTTATAATTGATACAGCACTCTTCTTCTGTTCAAGGATTTTCATTGGTACGAAGAAAGTTGTAGAATCTTCCCCCGACGGATGTACGTAAATGATATATAAAAATATCTGTGTTATTAATTCTTGAAAATATATAAATCTTTGCAATTACGTATGTTATGAGACGCGTGTGTATAACGGACCTTCGTTTCTGACGATCGTAAAATACTGAGATTAATCTATCATTTCTCCACGACGACACGCGAACTCGGCGGTTCGGCTTGCCGTTTACGGTAATCCACGATCACTGTTTCAATGGGACTCGAGTGGAAACAGCCGTCGATTAAATCTCGCGAACGCTTTCGAAGACGCATTTCGACACGCCACGATCGTACGATCGGAGAATCGCGAGTCGAATTTCGTCTTTCTTTGCTATGTCATGCGTGCGAATAGTATGTGCGAATAATGTGCATGCGTAATATAACGGTGAAGAGAGACGACGTGATGACAGATGGGAGAGCATGAGCGGTATGAGGGTTGTGAATGATGAGAGACAATAATGAACGTATTTGACGGAAACGCAGAATGGTGAACGACGAAAGTAAAGTAAAGGAAATAGAAGAGGCACGATATATGGACAAAATACAGAGAAAGAGAAACAGAGACAGATAGAAAAAGACAGAGAGAGAGAGAGAAAGAGACAGAGAGAGAGAAAGAGAGAGAGAGAGAGAAAGAGAAAGAGAGCCGAATGATGAGTCGTGAATCGCAATAAGTGAACGTAACAAAAAGGCACACAATCGTATAAGAGAGATAATACGTAAATATTATTATTAATTCCGTTAGATAATTACCTGCGGTCGGTTATACGTTTTGTGCGTGCGTTGTGCGTGTTACAAGTCAGTACTCGTTTGGGGCTCTTTTACATTTGGCATCGATTGCTGTCCGGTATTAGTCAACTTAAAAAAAAAAACAGAGAAACCAAAAATCAAAAATCCGAGGTCAGAGGCCACCGCGCGCGTGGAAAAAGAAAACGCAGTACACGTCGCACTTCTACTTATCGCAAACGTTGTGTCGGCGCGAACGTGTTCACACACGTGGACCCGATGAGTCAGGCTAAATCGCGAGAAGCTGTACAGAGAATACATCCTTCACCATGTTTCTTTTCTCACACGTTTGTGCTGTGGAACGGAGGACGGAGCGAGATATTTTCCAACGAGAGAAACAAAATTAGAGAATCGTGAAAAATAACGTTGAAAATAACAGATATTAATTTTAATCGAGGAATATATGAATATTTAAAATATATAAATATATACAGAATTTATTCTCTTCGTTTTGCAAAATCATCGACGGGTGTTCTTCATCACTATCGTCGCCGCGTGTTGGTAATTTATTACAGGTTATAATATTCCGTCATTGGAAAATATTGCGCTGTCATTCCTTACGCGTTATATCACCCCGTTAGATTTCATATATATCCGCCTGTCGTCCGTGATCGACGTCCGATTTCGCCGACCTTCCGTATGGAAAAGCTACGCACGCTTGGCGCATCGTTCGGGCATCGACGGTGTCGCTTCGAGGAGGTTGGTCGAAATCTGGGGCTGCATCGCGACCGGATCGAAGTCCAAAAGAAATCGTAGTTACGGACAAATCAAATCAGATAGAACCGATAACAGTCCCGAACGTGTGGTCTATTCGCGAGGGAAATTCGCGACGAAATGTGCTACTTTCGCGCATGGAAAATGTATGCTCCGAAGTGATTCTTGTGACATTGAAATGCAGAAAAAAGTCGTTGTATCTTGAGAGCACAGGGCGGATGAATTGTGATAGCGCAAACGAAAATAAGTGCGTAACCGATAAGAGGATGTTCGGTAACGGGCGCGTTTGGTCGCCGAAGCGGATGTCAAAAACTGAAACGATTCTTCTCCCTGTTATTGAAATTTAATTTAATGTCGTATTTTGTCGCAGCTTTTGAAGTTTTGTTATCGAGTATCTTAACAAGCAAATTTAACGGTCAGGATCTGGTCAAAAAATCTTTAATCTCAAAGTATTATTTGAAGAGTCAGATTTTCTGATCTATTTCTGTGTTTTTCATTTTCACGGCTGAAAAACGAGATATTTTTGTTAAAAAGAGAACCATTTCAGTTTTCGATATCGAGGACTTCGCCGTCAAAAGAGCTCGCCGCTGAACGTCCTACCTGCGTGTTTGTTTCTTGAATTAAAATAAGAATATCGCAAAACATATCGATGAAGATTGTTGTGCTCATGCCGATGGTCGAGGTGCACAAAAATGTGGATCGCAGTTATATAGAAAGACATAGAGATAGATAGATAGGTAGATAGATAAAGAGAGAAAGAAAGAGAGAGAGAGAGAGAAAGTGGAAAGAGAGAAGCAAGTTCGTTTTCTTACCGAATCGCCGTTTACGAATTAGCACAAGAGTACGCTCGTCGATGCCCGCACAAATGACGCCGACCTTCCGTTCGGAAGTAACGGAAAACTTACGCAGAATACAACAACATGCATTGTCGGAGGAAAGCACGCGTAAAAAAAAAAAAGAAAAAAAATAATAGATTCCATGGGATATATTTCACCATGCAGAGTTTCGCAGTTTCATGCTTGCTTTCCACATAAGAGTATATACACACGTTAGTATCTTATACATGTAACATATAGACATGCCTCATGCTACACGTACGTACAGAACGTGCTTAATTAATATTTTGCTAGTTGTGAAACATAGGAAAAATAAAAATAATATACGTATATATATATGTATATGTATATATATATATATATATATATACACATAGAGTGGTATGTATATACATATATTTATAAAAAAATACGGAAAGAAATATATATCTCGACCAATCAAATAATACACAGAGAAAACCTTCAGTCCAATCCTTATAGTAAGGCAATATAGTAACGGACTCAGACTTATATAAATAGATAGAGATATATAGAGAGATAGATGATATATAGACAGATAGATATAGAGAAGAGGGAGGAAGAGAAAGAGAGAAAAGGAGCGTGTATATATATATATATATATATATATACATATATATATAAATACTGGTCAATGTGTGTGTCTCGGATGGATGGGTATATATACAATAGAGAAAGAGAGAGAGAGAGAGAGAGATAGAGGAAGAGAGATGAAGAGAAAGAGAGAAATGAGAGAGCGACAGAAAGAGAGAAAGAGAGAGTGAGAAAAAGAGTAAAATGTAATGGAATGAAGATGATCTCGCACGAGGGTGGAGCACGCATATCGAACGTGACGTGAGGTAAGATTAACTCGATATCGATGAAGTCAAACGAGGTGATTACGCCGGGTAATCGACAGGAACACGTATTAAGTACCACACAGTGTAGGGGAATCAGACGTAAGAAGCTCAAATATTGTACAAATCATAATGAGGGAGTGCTAATTAAACCTCTAGAGATTTTGCACGTTGAGATGTAGACAGGGTGGCCGTAAATTCGCGCGCGTATTCCGCGCGTAACGAGCTTCCCCAATTAAATCGAAGCCAACCTTATCTTACTTAATTAAAAATTACGGTAACCGAGGGTCGAATTAAAATACAGGTTCCTGCCGTTTAAGTGAAAAACCCGTTCAAAATTAATTCTGAAATGAGATTCATTATCCTTTTGAGGCCCATAAGTCCAATTTGCGAAGGAGGCTTGAACTTACGATTGCTCGTAATTCTCGGGAGGAAAGATTGGCTACAATTTGACCGAGAAGCTTCACTACGCGACGCAAGTGTAATAATTTACGGCCACTTTGTGAATAGATAAGTGCACGGTTGCGATGACAATAGTTCTCGCGGAGCACCACGCCGACACTTCGGAACCGGAATCGATGTCGCATCGTTTTGCAAATGTTTGATGAAGCTTCAGGCTGATTTTGCGAAATCTCGCGTTCTTAAACACGTATCCCTTCCACCTCGCTCTTTCAAAGTGACATCGGTTGTTTCGCTTCCGAGGTGTCGAAAGCGCTCTGCCGCCTCGTCGTTGCATTTTTAACCGCGATTGCACTCGTGGAGGCCAATCGAGACTCATCAAATTCGTTCTCCTCCGGACATGAACATCAAACGGACACGCGAAATACGTGGTCCATTAGACGTCCGTCGTACGTGTTTCGTTTCTCTCGGACGATCCTGAAGGAAAATCTCACGAGTGTCTTGACTTGCCTCCACCTACATCTTTTGCACACGTGCGCGTGAACATGAGAGAATGCTTGCGAATTGAAGATTATAGTGGGCGCGAGTACGGCTAAATAAACGTTCGCTTCCACACAACGATGGAGCACCTTGAAGAAGAGTAACGATCAGAAAATCATGAGAATAAAGTTTACCATAATTTTTTATATAATTAATCTATACATAAACGTTTGATTGCGCATAAAACGCATAGTGCGTTGTTATAATTGAGCGGCGAACGATTCGAATTGTACGAATATAGAGAAACTTTTCACCA